CTGCTCTGCTGAAATTCATAAAAGGAAGCCTATGGTGAAGAGGAGAGTGAAAGCCTGGTCTCTGGAGACTGGTGATAGTTCCTTATTTCTTTTCTTCTCCCTCCCCCACCCCCTTTTTTCCTTAAATTTATTTATTTCCAGCTTTTTTCCTGCACCCACTAGAATGTTCAGTTGATATGTTAAATTACCAACACCTGATTTCCCAACCGATAGTGGGGGTTTTATTTTGGAAGTCTAGTTGAATGTATGGGCACAAAGAACCAGTATATCTAGTTTTCCTCAATAATGAGACTTCTTCATGTCTGGTGTGCATGTGAGAGAGTTTGGGGTTTTGCTTACTTGCCTAAACTGGGATGTAATGGAATCCCAGAGCTCTGGGTTATTTATGTGTGAGCTGTGGAAACTCTGTCCTAAAGCACTCCCCAGTCCTGTAGGTGCAGCATGGACATGTGGAAGACTACTTGATAAGCCTTCATGGAAATAGTAAATTCTATAGATTAAGCCCTCAGTACCTCAGCATAATTTACCAGGGTTTGTTTTTCTTTCTGGATTTACAGAGATATGAAAAATGCTGTAATTGGAAACAACAAACAAAAAGCCAACTTGATTGTTTTGGGAGCAGTTCCAAGGTATGTCCTTTGCTACTCTCCTTTTCACTGATTCACAACAGATCTGGAATAATGATCCTTAGATCACAGGCACTTTTTTGTTTTAACTTTGATTGTAGTTGACTGCATACTTTCTTTAATGTAACTGAGAGAGACTTGAAATGTTGAACTCGTGTATTACAGAACAAGCTGTTGAGTAATGCTTTTAGTTTAGAATTTCATAGAATTCTGTAAAGTAGTCTTGGTGATTTTTATTAAAGTTTTTTCAGCTCAGGAATGAAATCTGATTTCTGACATGGATATTAATGATGGATGAAAGTGGTTGTATCTTAATCCTGTTCTTTAGCCAATTGCCTGGTGAGTTCACAAGTGAAACTGTGTAAGGTTATGTTAAACAATAATTTAAAAATACTAAAAGCCATCTGAGATAATTTACTCATCTTTTCCACCTGCTTCAGTGGACTAAAAACCACTGATCATACTTTATTGCTGAATTACTGCTTCAGCTGATGTTAACATTTTTTGGATCCTGATTCCACTAGTACAAATTTAACAGGTAACATTAGCTACTGGATAGCTCAATACAGCTTTCATTTCACACCTCCTCCAGGCTTCTTTCACCCAACAATTTGCAGCAATGGAGAAGGAAAACATTGAGCACTGTACTAGTGCTAGGAGTATGAGACCCCCTGTGATCCATTTGCTTAAATGGCAACTAGATTCCAAACTGTCCTGCTTCAGAAAGCTTTTTCTGGCTTGTTAAAAATGCATTTTATTTGCAGGGAATATCTTCTTATTTACAGATTGAGTTTGTATCAAGGCTTGTCCTTAAAGTTCTCTAGGGATTAGCTGTGGGGAAACCCCCTCTACAAAACCTGCTGAATTATGTTCTGTTTTGACCAAATATAAACAGGTGAAGAGAAGACTTCACATGAGAGGAAAAGATCAAAGTGGACATTGTTGATTATGCAAAGTTTAAGAGATTTTTTTTCATTAACAGGCTGTAAGGAATTCTTGCAACTATTTTTGATTCTTGTGGTTCCCATTTTAAAGGTGACAGATCTCCAGCTTCCAAATCTAGAATCTGCCTGTTCTTAAGTTTTGTAGGACTTTGTGTTCTTTCAGTTATCCTGCTTTCTGCTGTTACTTGTTCTGTGCCCAGTAATGAAAATCCAGAAGTTCTGTGGTTTTTTTTCCTGTTGTTAATGCCTTCTGGCTGTCAAAGTAAATCATATTGTTAATCTATAACTGCAAATAAATGACTGGATTTGGAAAATCTTAAGGCTAAACTATCATGCCTGTCCTCACTGCAGTACAAGTTATCTTGAAATGGAAGGAATTCTAATGCCAAGGCTTTTCAGACTGGAGGTGTAAATGATGGTAAATTGGCTGGGTTATTGTGAGAAAAGACCGTTCTCACTGGCTAAAAATTAAGTGGCATCATCTACCCCCAAGTATGTTTCTGAAAGCGTGTTGCAGTCAGGCTTAGATTATAGATTAGGGAACTCCTTTTGTTGTTCTAACAAGGTAGGAATTCATTGGTGCTTTGGACACACTTTATAATTCGTGAAATGGCCTCTGAAGCCCTTAGAGTATGGGAACCTTTGGAATTCCAATCTGTAAAGTCAAACCTTTCCCTCAGTAAGAATAGGAGTGAGCGCGGTAGCGTTTTAAGTCTCTTCTGCAAAGTTAATGAGAACAGTTTTCTTTTCACAGTGTTAGATTTCAGTCTCCCAAGGGAAGTTGACTCTTTTCTGTAAATGGCATGGGGATTGTTAGAATTCTGCTGCTTTGTCCTGTAGCTCAACTTCTTGTTTACTTGTTTCTTGCTTCTCTCTTCTTCCCAAAGTATTTCTCCAGCAAGCTTTCAGAAGAGACCCTTTAGATCCAAAGAACCCCTTCAGATTTCTGTCACTTAGTGGAAAAGAAAACAGTTTGTTCAGATATTAGAACAGACTCATATGGGGTCTGGAAACAAGTCTAGGAAGTATCTTGTTGAAATTGGGTGAAATACTACTGGTAGGTATGAAGTAGCCCTATTTTAAAATAGCCGACTGCTGCTTGGTTGGAAAGAAATGCAAAGTCCTTTCAAGATCTCCATACAGGAAGAAAATGCCAGAAAAGTATGGCTGAATCTCATGTCATTTCTAGGCCAGTGGCCTAGAAAGAGGACTTAAGAATTGTTATGAACTGTACAGATGGCTACACAAACATAGTCCTGGATGTTAAGAATATAAATGCAACAGCCTGTATGTGGATTTTGTTTCTTAAGAAACTATTTTCTGTATTTCTTCCTTGCTACAGAGTAAGAGTAACAAGGAAGAAATACAGAATACTCCTTTACAGTCTCAGGAAACGCTGACCTTGGGCACCTCTGTCAGGACTGCAGAAATTCTACTTTTTGAAATTGTTAATTTTTTAGTAGCAATCCCAGAAAAGGAAATTTCTGAAGTTCAGGGTGAAAACAGGTGTTTTAATGCCCTGATATACCAAGTTCTTTCAGTGGCAAGACAAAAATAGCCTTGCCTAAAATGGTTTACTACTTGTATTGTCCTTCAGTTTTCTAGGGTTTTTCTTTTTCCCTTCTGCTCTACGTCAGAGCTAGCAGAGAATGAGGACGTCCATACTAATTGTTGCTGTGCTTGTTCACTTGGCAGTTTGTTTAAGAACAAATACTGCCACTCTTACACCTATCAACATACTCGGAAACCTCTTCAGAATACAAGATCAGTAATTGAAGCTTTTTCTCAGTTGCTCTTGCCTCTTAAATCTCAGGAAGATGATTGAGTCCTCAGCTCAAATGTAAATTGTTCTTTTTGAAGTGGTCTTGATAGGCCTCCTGACTTAATGAGACAACATTCATTTAGTAGCAGTTAGTCTGTAGTGCTGCTGGCTCCCAATCATCTGAATTGTAATTGAAGGCCCTTTCTGGTGGAGTTCATAATAAAGGCTAGAAATGTCACCATATTCATTGCCACTTAGTAACAGCTAAGGCATAGAGGAATACAGAAGGAACTACAGATTCTCACTGAAGTGGTTACCAGGACTACTCAGAAGTCTTTCCATTCTTTGACATTACTTCAGAAGCTAAGTAGTCTTTACCTCCCTGCTCTGTGGTACCTTGAGGTCTTCTTTGTAAGCTTTCCCATGAACTGCACATCAGCTACATTTTAAGGGCATTGAACTAGTGAGTAGGTTAAGTTCTGTTGTAGGCAAAAGTTACTGCTCTGCAGCTGTTTCCGAATTCTGCAGTGAATAGCCTAAAGCCTCTGGCTTATAGAGATGGAATTGGAACAGAAAAACATTCCATGAAATGAACATACAAGTTCTCGATAACTGTTTTGCAAGTCTGCGGTTTACTTTCTGGTAGCCTGAAAGAGATGGCATTCAGTGGTTGTAATACAGTCAACAGTTGGCTCTTTCAAGCTTGTGACATATTTCCTCTCTTCCTCTTCCTTCATCTGGTAGATGGCGGAGCGTAGAGAAGGCAGCATTAAGTTCCAGTCATCAGAACATAGCTTTGTCTTCCTGTACATCGTGGTGACCTGTTAAAGCTCTGACCTATACTATTATGTCAGAAGTGTTCGCTGAATCAAGTTATTGCTTATCTAATTATTACTGAGAGTTTAGTATTTAAAGTCTAATTCACTTCAGAGCGAGTTTCTCATTAAGAGCTTCCGTTATTCCTGTGCTCCAAAATGAATACAGAGTTTTTTTAAATCAAATCTTCAACTTAACCATCCAAGTCATTTAATAAAAACACTAAATCATTCTTGTCACTTACCAAAAACGATTTTCTAACTTCCAGCTGATTGTTCTCCAGAGTCTTAAGGCATAAAGTCAGTTGTTTGGAGCTGTAATGTGGTAGTGTACTTCTCCCCAAAGCTAAATGCCTGTCTCTAGGTAGGTGCACCTCAAAAACCTTTATACAGTTAATTTTCACCTTTTCCTAGGTGATCTATTAGGGATTCTGTTTAACTGTTGTTGTGGCTTTCATTTATTATTTATCTATCTATTTACTTACTTATTTGGCACACATTTTAAATGACATGTAGAACAGCTGATGAACTCTTACCTATTCCTTCTTTTGAAGTTTGAGTTCTGCAAAGCACGTGCAAGTATGCTACAAGGGTTGTGCGGTACTGAAAGCTAGTAAAAATGTTGAGGTTTTAACTTGTTTCTTGGGCCATGAACACATCAACATGGACATTCATGAAATGTGACATTTCAGTTTTTTGTTAAACATGATCAAATTCCTCCAGGCAGTGTTCTTTTAAAGTTTAACAAAAAATTAGACTGCTGCTTTGATAGCTGTGTAACCCACTAAGATGATGTCTATTAACTAGCAGGTTCTGTTAGATCCCAGTCTGTCAGCTAAGGAAAAGGATTTTATATAGGCTAATGTCTACATTAAACACAAGAAAAGTACCTGTAAGGAAAATCTTTGCGTCCAGTATTGGCTGGCAAATACTGGAAAACTTAAAACTGATGGGCTGGTAAGTAAGTAGAGGAAATTGCATATCTCTGATAGCATTTGAAATGTTTGTGTGTGTGTTACTTTTGTTTTGAGACTTAAAAAGAAAACTTAGGATGGATTTGCATAGCTCACAAGTATCCCAATCAATTATATGTTTAAATGGATGGTATTATAAATTCATACTGACCCATGCTATATTAGTACTTGATCCTGCATGGAGCTTAGCAGAAGAGCATCCTTACATATGGAATATTTTTATGCTGGGATGCTGACTGTTGTGAGATCAGTTGCAGGAGTGCAGGGTGAAAAACCACACTGTTGATTTCAGCTTTTCTTGGAGTTAGTCAGATACATGTCAGATAATGTTATTAGTTGAACAATTAATTTACTGTTTAAGCAGAAGATAAGCAAGAAGCTCCTTATGTTTGGGTATTTAGGAAAAAAGAGGCTTGTGCATATAGTAAGTACAATTTTAGTCTTAACACCAAGAAAGTATGTCTCTTAGTTTGTGTCCTGGAAAGCTTGTCTTCATGGCTGGCATACT